CAAAGATTTTATTCGAACTTATTTTTCCGTGATGCTCATGAATTTTTTTGTTGCATGTTTCACACATGTGAAGGTATAAAACAGCATGGTCACCATGACAACAACAACAACAACACAGACACAAATTATGTCATTTTTTTACTGCAGCTGGGAAACAAAGATAAGGCCCGCCCCCTCCACAATTCACAGCACAGGATTGGACATCACGGTCACTCACACATGATAGAATAACTCATGTTCAGTTGTCATGGAGACAGGAAGTTACTTCATCGGAGAAAAGGGACACGGAAACATGAGTTTGTTCTTCTGAGAGTCAAGATGGACGACACTGTCTCTGACTGAGAGAGACAGACAGATTATTGATTATTGGGACGTACTTCAGATACATCAACTGTCAAAAAAGTTTCTAAATTCAGATAATGAGAACAATAAGAGACAATGGGTTTGAATTAGTTTAAATATGTTTGATGAGAAATGATTGGTCTGTGTGGATTATCAATGATGATGTCACAGTGTCTCACCTGCAGCAACCAATCTGGAATCAGTGTGAGCTCGGTGTCGAACTTCAGCTCGATGGTCGGCGCTCTCGAACCACTGAAGAGTGTGAACTGAGCGCCAAACACACACACACACACACAMACACACACACACACACAAATGCACACAAACACACGCGCACGCACACACACACACACACACACACACACACACGTTAGAAGTTGGACGACTGTGATGTTCAGAATGCTCTGTGATAAAAATGTTGTCTATGTGTTATTGTCGTTGTTTTTTTTCACCTCTGTTCAGTTTTCCAAACTCGCTGTGGAAAGCTCCCAGCAGCGTCCCGTACCCTGGTGCATCATGGGAAGTAACAGCAGCCTGGAAGGCGTCAGCCCAAACCGCTGGACCACCAGGACGCATGTGGTAAGAAACCAGCTCGTACACACCTGAAACACAAACCTGCTGTAAAAACAAATGGTCTTTTTTGCCATGCATGTGTGTGTGTGTGAGGGGGTGGGGCATACCGCCCTCCTGTGGTGGCCTCTGCAGGTGGCTCCAGGGAACGAGGTAGGTGACCTCGTTGTCCTGAGACGTCAACATTGGTATCGCCTTGGAGATGTATTCTGAAATCCATGAGGGGTCGTGAGCCAGTGCCGCCCGCACCGCTGCCCGCTGAGCATAACTGTCTGATGGACGAGAGAGAAGGTCACTTACACATTAAAAACCAAGAAGAAGAACCTGTCCACTGAAGAAGAACGCACTCACCATACTTCCATATATGGAAAACCTGATTCAAGCCACCATACTCAACAGTCCAGTAGCCAATCAGCTCGGAGTGGGCAGTGCGCAGGTGGACCTTCTCATTAGTGAGTTTCAGGAAGGCTGCGTTCTGCTCTGGACGGATGCAGTACGTGCGGAACTCATAAAAAGTTTTGTGTTGCTGCTGGGGACCAGTTGAGAGACGCACACGAGGCTGCAGAGCAAAGACAAGACGGCAGAGGTCACACTCTGATCGTAAAACTGGGCCTCAGTCTCTGGGATGTGGACTACAGACTGGACCTGGATTAATACAGACTGCATCTGGATCTGGACTACAGAATGTGTATGCGAGTGTGTGTGTGTGTGT